AGGGAGTTTCTCCAGCAATTTCCTCCAAACTTTCCTCTCAAATCATGCAATACCAAGAACTACAAAAAGACTTTGTGAAACACTTGCTACCCACTGCTCTGATCCTCTCTGCTGGGTTAGTTTGTTTATTTTGGAAATGCACTAGTGCAGTAAGGACTGCTGACAAATCAAAAAGATGCTTTAAAGATGAAGGTGAAGAGACTGTGGCTGAAATAAAGATTTCTGAATATATGCTCATTGGAAGTTGAGGATTTTGCCCACATGATGTTTGGAGTGCTGCCTGATCTCTCAGTATTAAYGGCCCTTTGCAAAGAACATTCCTTGCTATCTTCAAAAAATAAACTAATACCTTCTCATTTCAAGGTCAGTGGAAAACAGGGATGGTGAGACACTCTTTTGATAAGCAGGCAAATACATGATTTTTTAAATGAATAGTTAACTGATGTCATCTTTTAAAGCTGACAGCTTCTGATGCTCATCAGAAAACTCTCTCTCATCATTCACAGCAAAAAGCAGAAAGACACGTCAAATTTAACGATCCAAAGCCATAACTTGTCATCAGAGGTCTGTTTAACACACCACAAAGCCATTACATCTAGATGTGCTGCCAAATGTCAAAGGAGCAAAGTAAGAAAGTCATTTTGCCTTTTTACACATGGTTAATCTAAATCGCTAAATTGGAAGTTGCAATGAAAATTACTCTGAGAGTATCTAATTGAAAACATTTTTAATTTCAAGTCTTATAAAAAAAAGCCACAGCTGCAGCGAAGTATGGCAATATTAATGAAAGCATATCTGGCACTCATTCAAATCTCTGCCTTCCTCGATGCTGTGAAAAGAAAAATCKCTCCCCAATGGAAATTCACCATTTTCACAGAAGTAAAATCTCTGTAAAAATGGGCTTTCGGCATTTGCATTAAATGTAATTAAATAATGTAATTAAATTGTTGCAGTAATTAGTGTATCTCTGCATGCTATTTGGCTCCAGGAATGCTCASTATTTGCAATCCAGATTGAAAAGAACTGTATTCGTAGCAGAATTTTGCAATGTCAAATCAGGCTAAAATGTTTGTTCAGGTTTTCAACCAACTTCACAAACTAAGTTGAGTAGAGATGCATGARAACAAGCAAGCAGATGTGACTGTGACATATTACAGAATAGCAAGTAACATTTAAAGAAACTTTAAACAGGTAGCAACATGTCCTTATGTCCTTATGAAGGACACTGAATTGAAAATGAACCAGAACACATGAAAAGAAGACAATGCAACTTGTAAGTGATCTCTTCTACAAAGAGGGATTCAATTTCTTCCACTGACTGAATGCCTTTGTTGTCTTTTATAAAGAACTTAAATTTACTAGCAACACAAAATGTTATTGGTTCTTATTTGGCTATTCATAATGATGAAATAGTAATTGAGTTGTGTTTGGTACTGTGAGAGAGAGAGGCTTTATTGTAATAGTAACAGCTAGAAACATGGAACGACATCRTGGAAGTCCATGGAAGGATACCTATTCCTAGAAAATGGAAGGGACATAATTTAGGGTCTAACCTACAACTCTACCTACTTGATCCAGAGATGATGATGACTGTGTTACCAATGGCTGGGACTCCAGCTCAAACTGATCCCTTTAGAGACCAGACTGCCAAGGAGATTTTATCTCAAGCTGGTCTCTTCATCTTAATTCATCTCAGTTCCTGCAGATAACTTTTGTGGTTATTAGCTGATTAGGTCTTTTGTCAACATCAAAAGGGTTTAAAAACATACACTACATGCAAGTCATTTAGGAGCTACAGTGTCTGAAGACTTTTATCTATAGTTGAAATATGGAAAGAAATGAGAAGAAATGTTCTGAGTGGGGACTTGTGTGTAGTGCATTCTGCCAAGACACTTTCTCACTGTCAGGGCACCCATCTCCTTAAAAGTCTGATTCCACCCACAGGAATTGCTAGCAACACTTGGCAGGGAACATAAATACCATTTTGCCCAACCAATGTGTCACTTCTCTGCCTTGAAGTCACCTAAGAAAAAAATTAAGGCATTTCTGGCAATACACAATTAGCTTAACCAGGGAAATACGCTGTTCTACTGCATCTACCCACAAGTACCTCACCAGGCTGATGTTCTGTTCCAGAACAAAAATGACTGACTTCCTACTCCAAACTCTGATAATTGTTCTGGAATTAAATGAGTTTTTATTGCAGAGTAGAGTTGCCCATGAGGGAACCATTGCAGCGCAGATAATGGYAGAATAAGCTATGGCAGTGAATGAAGGAGAATTTCCCATCACAGAAAGCCTAGCATCTGAGAATTTGCTGAGATGTTATCTCTGACCTACTTTGCTCAAAGTACCACAGAGATATCTACACACAGGCATCCAATTATTTGTTGAAATCAACAAGTACTTTTGTGCTACCCAGAATTAGTACAAGCTAAAAAAGAGAGTAGAGCAGGATGATAGGTGGAAAGAAGTGTTCTTTCTGTAGCATTTGCTAGCACAGGAATTGATTTCACAAACATGCTCATCCCAGCAGCGTAGTTCATTCAGCAGAGCATCAACTCCCATCAAAGAGTCATTCTTAACTTGAAATCAGCATGCCCATAACAGCAACAAATGAACGGAAAAGAGCAGAATAGTTCTTTAGAAACAGCCCAGCTGTCTCATGCATCCGACACTGCCACATACAAATGTTTTCATTGAAGGAGAAAAAAAATGCCAGCCCTGAAGCCCAATGCCATAGTTAGAAATGGTCACCAAACCCCAAACTGTACCATGCTAACTGGGGAACTGAAGACATTAAGCACATTCCCAGAGAAGGCCACATCAAAAAAGGATATTTCTGGAGTTCTTATAGTATTTTCAAAAGCTACATGCCTAACAAAGGGTTCTACAAGGCAATAAAACACTCCGCTAGGTAATTAAATTCTTCTAAGCTGGCTCTTGCAAGCTGCACAGTTTATTAGAAGGAGAGCTATCCCAAGGGATTAACAAATGTCATGTTGAATATGAGAAAAGTTTTATTTTTTTTCTTCTCTTGAGATGTTGTGAAAGYTTGAGAGGGTCTGAGAAACAAATTTAGAACAAACTGATTTAGGGAGAATAAATCCTAGGTATTCCAGTGAATGATTTGATATAGGAAGACAGGAAGGGTCACTTTTACCTTAAGAGCACAGTTAATCTCACAATGAGACAGTCGACTCTGGTACAAACTGGTCAACTCAATTAGTGTATATATGAAATTTGCTACCATTTATGGGGTTTTATTTATTATATTTATGTCTTTTTCTCTGATTTGTGAAAATTAAAACCTCAATCAACTGACAATACAGTAGGTTTCACAAACAACAGTATCTCTGTACTATAAGTTACTATCTCTTAGAACAGCTCTGTACTTTGGACTATTGAGTGAAAGAGGTAAAAGAGAAAAATTCTATTTTGCCTGATTAAAAAATAAACAAACTATGAGCTAAATCAAATTTTTAGGTCAGACTGGAAAGAAATTCAGTTTAATCTTTAAAAATTACATCTCAGATCCTGAGAAACAGACAGTAAAGAGAGAGAATTAATGCTAAYGTGCTTAATATTTATTAGAAAAAAACATAATTAAAATAATACTAAGAGGAAAAAATTATTCTCCATTTGAAACCACTTCTGGTAACCTATCTGCATGTAGAAACAAGATAAAAAAAGGCCCATTATTACCAAAACCTTAACATTTAAACAATGCAGTTTCCAGATGCTAACAATAAATTCTGTAGCTGTAACCAACCAAAAATTTCCACCAGTTGTTAGCCAGGGGGGAAAACTCTGAAACCTGGACTTCTCAGAGCAGGATTTGTTAGTCCACTAAATGCCTGCCTTGTCCTTGTGGAAAGATATGACCACCAAGTGAAAATTAAACAACAGGGCAGACAAAAAAAATCTGAACTGAATGCTGGGGTTTTGTTTGTATAACAGTAGGATACTGGTTGGTCTTTCTCATCTTTTAACAGAGGTAGATTCACAAAGGTTAAGATTTAATGTCTAAACCCCAAAACCTAAGTACCCTGCCACCTAACAGCATTGCCAGCAGAAAACTGCCAACTGCATTCCCAATGAGTATCAGTAGATTTCAGCTCCTGTCCCACAAACTCATCAATAATCTGGGAGGGAAGCCTTTTGCTATTGAAACTTATGAACCCCTTAGTAATTAAATTCAACTTAATGATCTGCAAAAACAAGAAAATTGGGAAATTACTGCTCTCTACATATCTTGGAGGTGTTAGCAACCTGGAAGAATATCTACAAGAGTCAAATTTTGGACAAAGGTGACTGAAGCTTCTTTTAGGAAATTCTGGGGAACACTATGCTCATAACACCTTTAGGGGGCCTAAAAGCATGGCCCATATGAGCACAGAACTAAATAATGCCTGGTTTCCTTGGGATTTATTTCTGCTTATTAAGGTCTTTGAAAAGAAACAGCATTACAATTTTTTCCCCTATGGGTGTAATACCTGAATTGTCTCTGTCCCTACTGGATCCAGCAATCTTTCATAAGAAAGTGGAGACATCGTCCAAGTTTCAAATGCTCTTCTTAACCTACTCACTGTTTTAATGGACTTTGCAGAAACACTATCTTTGAAATTGTTATATTCACTCCCAGCTGAAATTTAGTTAATAGGTTTCAAATTGATCATTACCACTGGCTTAAGCAAAATTACACACAGAGGAATATACAGCTTTACTTCGTAAGAACCAAGGCTGAAGACATTTAAATAGTCATGGCAGGAGGGACAAGCTCTCTCTTTTCCAGTTCAGCACTGCAATGGCAGCTAATGGCAGCTCCCTCCTGTTAGGCTAAACCATAAATTCTAATGGTTTTATCCCCACACAGAAGTGAAGGATATCAATTATTTACTAAAACAAAGATCAGCTGTTCTCACGAGCACAAAACTAGCATGGAGAGCACCACCCTAGGACTCTCAGCAAATACAGCTGCTSCAGGTGCCATTCTGTACCATGATAAATGGTGCTGCTGTTGCTGTTGAGATAGGATTCAACCAGCGGGGCCTGCTCCTCCGAATGCTTTGTCCTGCGCGTCCTTGCCCGACTGTCCACGTTGGACTGAACCATCAGCGGCTCCTGGCGCTTCTTCTTCTGCTTCTGTTCCAGCAGTGCTCTCTGGAGAAAACACAAGCAAAAGCACCTGCTCCAAACAGCAGCACAAACTGGCCATGAAAAACAATGGTCAACTTCACACCTTCCCCAGCTCTACAGCGGGGGCCGTTGGCAAGCGGGATATTGGGATGTCAGGTTACCGGAAATCTTTCCAAAAAACCACAACCAACCCACTGTTGAAACGCCGTCTGCTGAAAACAGYGAATAATTAAAATACATCGTCCTGAGCAGCCTACCAGCTGTCAGAGCTTGCTTGGGAATAACCCTTGGGAAAACAACAGCTTGAGAAGACTGGCTGTGAAGCAATGGGAGGGTAAGCAAGGACATGAGGCAGAGATGCCAATTCTGTTTCTGTAAATTAAAAGCAGGTAATTGCACACTGGAATCGAGTGATAATACTGGACATGAGACAAATTTACCAGTTATAAAAGATGAACTTTAATTAAACACTTAAATTCCTCAGCTAGATCTACTGAAAACCAAAATCCTCAGCATCCAGTGGCACTACAGGCACCTCTCTTTAAGCCCTCTTCCACAACCTCAGAGAACTGAACTGCTAAATTTTCTTATCCATTACCTTACCATTTCCTTGCTTCTTTACAATGACATTTTAGCTTCTAGAAAAGAGATGCAGTGAAACTGAAGAAAAAGAACAGAGAGTGAACTCTTTCAGCTCCATGAGTTGTGTTGAACACCTCAACACGACTCCAACATAATCAAAATTAAGTACGGGATTATGGCATAAATAATAGAAAGTACTTGAATTTGAAAATGGGATGCTGGCAGACATGCAAGCTGATGAAACAGTGGGAATAGAAAAGGATAAAATTAAACTCACAAGGTTTAACTATAAAAATGACAACATTTTTTGAGAAGGGGACCACAAAAATCAAAGCAAAAGCAGAAACCTCAAATCCCACTAAAACTCGATTCCCCCAGATCTCATGTAAGAGATCCTGAGTCTCTTGCAGAGGATAAGAATACAGTAGGAAAACAGCCAACATGGCACACAGTGCCACTRGGTTACACCACAAGGGCTAAATCCAGGAATGAAAAGTACATAAAAACTCTGTGGTTAACCTCTGCTGGCTGGCGTGGCTGGTCCCYTGGTGGGGTAACAAATACTTTATACATCAGCTTAAAATGAGTCCAAAGCAGTGGGAATGAGAGCCACTCAAACCACAGTCAGAAGACAAATTTTAATGGAAGTCATACTTCTGAGTTAACTGCAGCCTCCACAGATCTCTCTTTTGCATCCCCCAATCAGAGGATTCAATTTTCTACCAATTATCAGTGTTTTCATTACTTCAGGATTCAGACTTCAGAGAGCAAGGAGGTCCCCCTCCAAAATCTTACCTGTCGRTCAAGCTTCTGCTGACGCAGGCTGCTCCCCTCATCATCCAGAACACTGCAAAGACAAGGAATACATCATTGCAACAAATTTATCACTCAAAACACCACCTAACACCACCCAATGGAGGAACCCTCACAGGAGTGATCCATACAAAACTCCCACTATGTTCTTCTATGGAAGTTTGCCTGCCCTAAACCAAAAAAACTTGGCTCCAGAGGATTTAAATGCAGTCCACAGAAACCTGAAAAACTCTGCCTCACATAAKCTTCAACAAAAAACACATATTCAAGTACTTCACAAAGAAATGCAAAACCCACTGTCTACAGTTTTGTTTCTTTTCTACTCACCTCTAATGCAAAACATCAACATATACCGCACTGAAATTGAAAATTTGCATATAAAGCCTAGAAAAAGTGAGGTGTGAAACTGAACTGCTTAGCAACTCAGCAGTATTTAAAATTATATTAGGAAAATTAACTGCCTGATCCTTTGCACACTGAAAACCATAATTTATTCCTAAACATCTGAAAAGTCCCACTTATTGCCACACACTTCAATGTTTAGAGGCTGGCAAGATAAACAGCATTGCTCACTACCATATTTCTCTCTGCTAATTGTTGCTAGTTGGGAGATTAGTGCCTGTGCATTCAATCATTTTCATTAATTAGATATTAAAGACTGGCATTGAAATCAGAAAGCTATTTTTTGTGAAGTATTTTATCAAACTACTGACTAGGCTTGATTTTTCTGGAGAACAAAGGTCTCTATTGTAAGAACACCATGGTTAAACATTGAACCTAGATAACTAAATCTTTTAAAGAGTAATATATGTCATCTACAAGGCAAATAGTGCTATAGAACAAAAACAATAGCCTCTTACAAGGAAAATTAATTTTCTCTTACAATACACTTCTATAAAATGTTATGCCCTTCTCTAATAATCACTCTTAACAATCAAAAAGAACAAAAAAAAGTCCAGGACAAACAAACTTGGATTCTGACCTACATAAAAACCAACAATATTGCAATGGAAATTGCATTAAAAATGTGAATCCCAYGTATTAATACACAGTCTTTAGGAGACACTAACATTATAGTAGAGTTAGACAGGACAGTTAATAAAGGCATGTAAAATGGCCAGCATTATCCAATGGCCACTTTTCCAATGCCAGCATTATCAAAGACTTAGAATTAAGCATTATTGGTAGCATCAGCCTTTCACAATTTTTACTAAGGTTATATGCTACAAGAGGCTRAKGTTCCACAGATTGAAACTGTGCTGTTCAASTATCTCAGGTACGAAATTACCACCTCTTGTAGAAGTAATGGATTACCCACAGTCCACAAAAAWGATTAAAAGAWAAAAAAAACCTTTTTTATTTAAAGAAAAAAATCCTCACACTCATAAAAATGTTTTACTTTACACCAAGCATTCTTCATTTTATAAATTACTGAAGTTATAAAAGGAAGACACACATTCCTCCATATACAATATCAGGTTTTCAGAAGAGTGTTTCACTTCAACTCCACCAGTATAAGCTGCTAGGAAGTAAAACTACCCTAATGGAGATTTTCAGCCAAATAACTGAGTAAAAGATGCCTAAGTGTAAAATTTCAGGCTCAATGGCCTGAATAAAATCCTCCTCATTTCAGACAATGCTTGAAGAAAAGCCAAACCCATGTAATGATGCTAATAAGATCCCAAGAAGTGCAGATGCAGCAATGTAAATACCACCCCAGCATCCACATTCTGGCAAAACACACTGCATGGAACAAGGGAGAAAGAAAATGTTCTTTGGTCTTCAGGGGAAGCCACAACAAGGAAAATTCAGGTTCAGGCACAGCTCCCTCAAGTCTCTGAGTGCCCAACCTTAGCATGATAAACATGGCAGTTTAAAGAGCACCAAACCCCAGTCAGAGAATGGTGTGGTTTGCATTGAGTCAGCATTCCACAAATGCAAGTATCAGATACACCAGAGGACTGCCAAAAAAACCCCAAACTCCATCCAAAAACAATGGACATTGCAAAGCTAAAGTGCCTCTCCACATCACCCTTTTTACTGCACGACGTTGTTTTTAAAGCTTCTGAATAAATGCACTCACAGCTGAGACCGAGAGCAGCATGCTTTGAAAACCAGATGTCAACCTCATGTGGAGCCTCCAGCCCCTTCATTATCCCACTTCATATTTTGTGAAGTTTTGAGTTGTTTTCCACAATCTTTTTTAGGTATGCATTAATGACAAGCCTTTGCATTATTGAAGTGCAACMTTCAGCAAATTAAATTGAACTCCAGCTTTCTCCCCTGACACAAGATTCAGTAGAATACGGTTACTTCAACGATGCTCTCCCCCTTCAGATTACTGGACTGGTACAAGAATGCTGAGCTCCCACCAGYCAGCTATCCCACTCTCCTGAATCCTTCATAGGGTAAAAAGGCTTCATGACCATGAACTGTCCATTTTAACAGTTCCAGTATCAATGAAAAGCTGTAGTTCTGTCCTTTCTTGGTGTCTAATAACATTCATGCAATTCCAAGTACAAAGAGGATGCAATTCAGCCCGTATATTCTTCTGCTGTACCAAAGGAGTGCTCCAGTTTGAGACTGCGCACTTTGTCGCTATTTTCTGCAGAACTACTGGACCTTGGAATTGCTGACCAGCGGCCAACATTTCACATTCCCCGATTCCCAGTAGACAAAGTCTCCTGAAACTGGGTGACTTCCAAGATATGCCATTAAGGAACATCAGGGTTTAAATACATGCATAAATAAGTAACTAACTAAATAAATAATATAAGCTCTGTTTCCATCGTAATTCCATCAGGCCCTCACTCTTGCTGCCTTGAAAAACATCTGCAAAGAACTCTGAGATGAAGTATATAAGTGCCACTGACCCTTTTTCTCACACCTCACTGARTCCTTGCAGAAAGATTTTGCAGATCATCTCACTACAGCATCTGGCACTGCATGCATTCTGTCGGATGCTCCAGGGTCCAAGAGCTGAAATCCAGTTCTGGATTTCAGCCTTGTCTTTCTCTGGAAAACACGAAAGCATGTGAGCAGAAGCACAGCCTTTGCCCTTCCTGGTCTTTCAAAAGAGCAGAAAACTATTGCTCATCCCTATGGAAGGGTTGTGCACATGGTGAGGACCCAGCCTGCCCAGCCCAGTTTTGGAAGAGGCCATGGTTTGTCTTACTGTCCAAATAACTGGGATGGTCAGAGACTGAAGGTCCAGTACAGGGGAAAAACTGTGACTGAAAGATGGCAGGAAACAATCTCAGAGAGAGGCTGTTAGAACAATTCTGCCTACATGTTTGATGCGATGCTACAAAATCCCAAGAGCAGCATGAAACTCAGTCAGATTTAATAGAGAAATATAACTTTATAATTCATGAAAATTGAATTATTTAAGAGCATGCATACATATTAGCAATCTGCTCAGCACGCTGAAGTATCCTGGAGATCCAGTAAGGTTCATTTTTACTCCTAGTTGATCAAGGATCATGCATTGGCCTGGCATCTTGGCTATGGCTTTGACCCACTTAAAACAACAAGCAATTTTACACTATATATAATACTGTAAACAACCCTTCAGCTCTGCATTAATAGGCCAAATTCAGCTGACGAATCCAAGCTTTTATCTACTTCCTTGCAGATAATTATTCAGAGAAAAACCATCCTTCTATAAGAACTTGAACAATCTACCCACTAGAGCTTACTAGTTGCTGGATTTAAGAAGTCAAGCTTATAGCCATATATTGTAAAAATCCATATCAGTTGTCTGGACCAAGGCCCACAGAGACTAAAGTATTATCTATAGATAGCATTATTTTCAAATTTCAAATACAGTATCCAATTCAAACATCTCAACTCCCATTTTTTAAAGAGAAATACATTAAAAGGACAACCACATTTTAGTCAAAGTATTACTTTTCGTACCACCCTTTTAAGACACAAAATCTATTTTGCAGAAACAGTTTCAACATTAAATTCACTTTATAGTAAGCCAAATTTAATATACTGCTGCATGTCATGACAAAGACAAAAAGCACATGTAAGAATTTTAGTATTCTAAACTTTTCATAATCTCTATTCCTTAAAAACATTTAGACAGTAACACAAAACCAATCAGGTTTTAAGGATGAAACTTCATGATAGTGGCAAGCTCCACAATTTACTGCTGAGATGAAGGCAGAGGTTTTTWAAGTCAATGCTTTGATACATTTTTGATACTGTAATTCCACATGGGCTGATTCCAGTCTAAGTAAAATCTGAAATACTTAATTCAAACAACATTTTTCACGGCAAGAGCTTCACCTTTGCTCTTTGAACATGCAAACCACTTGAATCTCAATAAGCCATCATGTGAAAAAATAATTAAGAAGAAATGTTTCTAATTATAATGTGCAAGATGCATGTAGTCACTGATTTTATTTCAGGGGTTTTTTAAATAAAAGGTCAAGAAACACTAAAGCAGCTTTATTGTTTATGACTGACAAACAAGGCAATGTTTTTGTTCCTTTCTGGCACTGCTTCATAGAGGAACATTTTCTATGTAAATAACATTTTTTAGCAGGATAAAGGTCCAAAATGTCACCTAGCACAGCTCTGCAGCCCAGCACTAATTGCACCACTTGGTCAAACAAGTAGACTCCTACTACCACTAAACTTTAAGACACTGTTTAAGATGTGTCACCCTCGCATTTTCTCTTTTTGCTGTTTTATGATAATCCATTACTAAACAGCAGCTTTAAACGCAAAAGCTCTGTGTGAAATCAGGGACCTTAAAATAAGAAAAAWGAATATACATAGGCAGGGAAAATTCCTGAGACAAACCATTCACATAATAAAAAGATGAAGAATTGGATAAAAAAATTGCTAATCCCATTTAGAACACTGAACCAGAAACAACGGAAAAATAGAGGTGGTGTTTTCATCTTGAATTTCTTCTGCCATATTGCAGACTGCAATTCAAAAACAATGGATGATCGAATCAAACAGAAACAAAAAACTACACCACACCAGACTAATCTGCAAGATCACTCAGATTTTTTT